ATAAATATATATATATTAATATCAAAATACAGTTAAAATAAAATTACATATATTTTTTTTTGTAATTATTTTTACAAAAAATTTTTAATTAACCATTATAATTTTTTTATAATAATAATAATAATAAAATATATATATATAAAATATATATAGTTATTATATATACGTGTTGAATTTTACTCTAAGTGTATTTTTATATTAATAGAGGTATGTATTAATAAGAAATACACTTAGCATGACGTTATATAGAAGATATATTTATATATATACACGTATTATATATATAGATAAAATAATATGTGTGTGTATGTATATATACACAGTGGGACCTCAGTTTCCGAATTTAATGCGCTCTCTGGGACGTTTCTTATTGGGGAAAATGTGCAAACCGAAAGCGGTTTCCCAAAGGAATGCATTGAAAACCAATTAATCCGTTCTGGAGGTCAGAAAAAAGTAAAAATGAGCTGGCATGGAAACCAACCCACAATGCGGAACTCACAGTAAAAGGCATTCAAACGACAAAGCTCAGCTCCCTACCTTTCCACAGCTTGTGAAATGCACCAAAAAGTCCCAAAACAACTGCAAACAATTTCCAGAATGGCTCCAAAACTTGATGCAAAAGCCACTCCAACACCTCCACACTCTACGCCACGTGCTACCCACAGCCTCCAGCATGCATCGGGCGGCGCTATAAACCTCCCAGGTGCAATGCATCCTGGGGAAACTTGCTTTGTATTGCGGAAAAAAAATTGTAAACCGAGGCATTATTTTAAATGGATTTTTATTTGTAAACCAAAAGTTATGTTAACCGAGGCGTTATATATATATATATATATGTATTAAGGCAGTTTTGCCTGTATTTGTGGGAGGGGCTTAAATTAATTCACTCCTCATATCGCTTGAGGTCAGCATCAGAATGATTTCCACTTCCGGGTCATCCAGACGCCATTTTACCTGATTACTCCATGAGGTTTTCTAAGCAGAGCTGTGTCAGGAATCCAGCCACAGGCTTTTCCGGCCTACCACCTTCTTTCTTCAATCTATCGCTGTGGATGGTGTCCAAGTGACTCACAAACCGTAAGTTGACCTACCCATTACGCCAGGCATCAGTCCCACGGCACCATGCACGGGTCAGGTCCTCACTTTACTGCTGCATTTTGTCTAAGTCTGTTCTAAAACCATTGCATGTTCATGCATATCATTCGTTTAAACCCCCTACTGGTCTTTGGGTGTACTACAGGCTACTTAGACATTATCGCATTTCATGTACAAACCAACGAACCACTGCATTTTTGCCTACACACTGACCCCTACCGGTCATTCGGTGTACTACAGGCTTCTCAGACATTATTGCATTTCATGTACAAACCAACGAACCACCGCATTTTTCACCTACACACTGACCCCTATTGGTCATTCGGTATACTACAGGCTTCATAGGCGTTGTTTGCATTTTATGTACAAACCAACGAACCACGTCATTTTCGCCTACATGCTGACCCCTACCGGTCAATCGGTATACTACAGTCTTCTCAGACTTTATTTCACTTCATAAGCAAACAAACTAACTACAGCATTTTCGCTTTTATACTGACTCCTATCTGTCATACGGTAGGATTAACCCCTTAGGGACACATGACATGTGTGTCATGTCATGATTCCCTTTTATTCCAGAAGTTTGGTCCTTAAGGGGTTAAAGGGTATTTTTACCATACAATCAGCATTTATGACCCCTACTGGTCAACAGCAAAACTGTCTTCACATGTCATATACAATTTACCAGCCAATATAAATTACACATAAGATTGTTTTAACCCCTTAAGGACACAAGACATGTGTGACGTGTCATGATTCCCTTTTATTCCAGAAGTTTGGTCCTTACGGGGTTAAACATAACCATAAACCATAAATGAAACTCCAGCACGGGCTCAAATTCAGGTTTAATTCACAATAATTTACATTTCACATCAAGACCAACAGTGGTTCTATCAACACTGCCACCTACAGGTCTGTCAAGTACATTGACAATTTTCGTGGGGTTTTACAAACACCAAAACACTGACACCTATAGGTCAACAGACAAACAACATTTCACATACAAATCAGTATCAACTACACTGCCACCTATAGGGCACTCGGCAGATCTCCAGTGCACTTGCATTTTGCAACACCATGTTCACTGACCCCTACCATTCAATAAGACATACAACAATTCACATAGCAAGTACTATATCAAACATCTTGTATAAATACATATATTATTACACAGTAGCAGACGCGTCTGTATATACGTAACTGGTAATATAGTTCACATACATTTTTCACAGCACGCTGCTCACGCAACAGACTTTCCCCTAGCAAGGGGACATACAACATACAAGGTGGGGACAGACCACATTTTCACTTGTACATACGGCACTTAATGGGTTAATATTGATACATATTTAACCAGTATGGCTACGATGTTTAATATTTACACATCATGGCACTTTACTTTTCACATATACTGTACGTATTAAGATAAGCTTGGTCTATGCCATATTTCCTTATGCCATACGGTTTTATCCATTCAGGTTACAGTTACTACTAAAAAACCTATACGGATTGTCAGGTTCAATACCATACTACCAGGTACATACACCTGCTCACATAGTTATCCATCTCTGACCTTCCCTGGAATAGTAATAGTGTACTGGCAATTAGGGTTCTAGGGCCCAATAGGTATTACCCCCTTTTTTCTCTGCATTATGCTTCGGTTAGTGGTCCCGCGAGGCCAACACCCCGCCTCACACTCGGAGGCATACACCCCTCGGGCCACTCGTGAGCTAGCCGCCTCGCATTGTATCATAGAGAGGGCCTCACCTGTCACTCCCCTTCCTATTTTCTGGTTACTGTCACCGAGAGGCCAACATCCTGCCACAACGTTCGGTGGCCACACAAAATCCCCTCGCGCCAAGCATAGATAGAGCCTCTCAAGCCACTTGGCAACTAGCAGGGCCTCACCAGTCACCAAAAAACACCAAGCCTAATCGTTTCGCCTTACGGCTTAGCTAGCAAGCCAGTACAAGAACCCTGGGTACAAATAATTGCATCTTTATTGTTATTTAAGTATTTTTCCAAAAGATGGTGAAGAATCACCTCTTCCTAGCACCCCGGCTAGAATTGATACACCTTCAAGCAGAGGAGATGTTGCTAGTCCTGCAGCAATCAGATCCTGGACGATCCCACACATTACCACCGACCTAAGGAGGTGACAAATCCCCTACCCTGCTACAGCAAGGAAAGCAGAGTTATTCAAACTCCTCCATACATCAACTGCCAACACGGAGGCAGGGGAAGGCCCAGCTACATCAACTCAGGTGACACCCAGGCTATGCTAGCCTCACTCATAAACTCATGAGCCAAAAAATTTTATGACAGACTGGCAATCTCGAGTTGGTCACCACAGCCCTCACAAGGCTGGGCCTCACGTTACTGTACAACCAGCACCAACCGAAACTCGGTTACCTGGTACAATCAATTCTTATGACACACAAGATGTTAACCCTGCACGTATGATCCCAGCACATTGGGGAAGCAAGGCATATATATATATGATGATGTATCTGTGATGGTCAGATTCAGGGATTCCAGGTAAATCGGGAACTGACCATCTCTTGGATGGGTTGGTATTTGGAATATGTAGAGATGTTTATTTGTGCAGGTACCCATACAGAAGGGGTTCTGTCCCAAACAAATGGACGAGCACTCTCAGGCTCCAGGTACCAGCACCTCTGAACTACCAGAGACGATTGATATGAGTAGTTGCATTGCATATAGACTGTTGCATATATGTTCAAATGGTTCAGGGCACATGACAAACCATGTGGCCCAATACAACTTACAAATAACGTACTCACCATCTGTACACACCAATGCATTGTCAACACTACTGACTCATCGCCCTTCCAGACTTGTAGTAGATTTACTAAAGCTCTGGAGCTTCAAAGGGCTCCCATACAGGTATCATAAACACACCTTCAAGGAATATAGCATGCCCTCACTTACAGTCAGCACAACAAAACCATTGGCTGAAAACACACTCATAGCCAAGATTTGCAGAGTGGTCTTCCAATCTCCACCATTTACAGCATGGCACCAAACACACACATTGGTATTGTCACAAGGAATCTTCCCTTAAACAAAGACTAACTATAGACTTATTGGCACCACACACCTCCGCTACCCCAAGTCTCAACTCCCTTCTTACTATACAACACCATTGATCTACCTTTACAGCTATCACTCAAGCATGGGTTAAAGCTTGGTTAAGTAAGACCAATATCATCAACGCAGTAAACAGCTACCATCTACCCTACACACTGGCACTTACATGGCATAAATTGGGCAATCCTTTCCCTGCTCAACTTTCGAGCTACAGATTAACCTACTATCGATATTCGCAGATACTCTGTGCTGGTTATGATAACATATCCAGAGGCATTACAGTCATACACTATCTAGAAGATTTCTTGTTGCTCAAAGAAAGCATAATTTTCACTAGAAGCCTCATGGCAGCTTAGTCTGGTTGACCACTTGGGCGTCCCAGTACCCCATAAGAAACAGAAGGCGCAGACACTATCACCACATTACTGGGCATATGACTTGAGTCGGCATCCATACACGCAAGTTACCACAAGACAAATAGGGAACATTCTCAACTAAATCAATCACTACCTCCTGCTTAGTACTTACAACTACAAGAAACTACAATCCCTACCAGGTTCCTTAATTTTGCCATGCCAATCATACCACAAGACCACGCTTTCACATCCAGAGTACTTTCCCCTTTTTTCCACACTTCCAACATGACGATCAGAGGAGGTGCCTAGACACCTCAGCAACAGCAGACCTGCACATGGGGGGGGATTTCTTAACCACTTGGCATTGTAAAAGCATGTTCCTTCCAGGATTGTCTGACACTTCTCCAACCAGATGGTCAGACGCAGCGTATACCATGGGTTTGGCAGCGATCTACCGGGAACAACTGCTTTGGGGCTGTTGGCCATGGCATCCAGGTTTGGAAATTTTTCCACCACTTCAGCCCCTTTGGGAGATCTACCCCATTGTAGCAGCTGCTGTGGCATGGGGTAAATCATGGTCAGGGTCATCAATCCGTTGTTACTCAGACAACTAAGCACATATCATATCATCAACAAACGCCACTACTCACCCATAAGTTCATGATTTTTCTGGGGAACTCACTTGGTTGGCCACTTATCACATTTCACTTTCATGTACCAGACGGGGGTATACATCCCTGCCGACAACTGTCTCATTTATATTCCAGGCATGTTCATCATACGCTTCCTACAGCCGCCCATACAGTCACGTCCACTCTTTCGTTCCAGAGACAAAATCATGGATTAGACATACTCATGCAGCATAGCATGCACTATCCCACCTAGCACTTTCGTCCCATACTTGTAGAACGCATAACACAGCTTTTCACCTGGCTTCAAGAATCTCATTGGAACACGACATAGCTCAACCTGTGTCACAAAATTCCTCCTAAGTTTTGCTTATTTTTGCCACCTTAAACTTAAACTATCTCATACACCATTAATTATATATTTTACAGGCATTCAACAACACATGATAACCTATGGCCAAAACTACCATAAACTTCATGCTATCATACCAGAAAAGAATATACTCAGAGGTTTTCAGGAATCCATTCCCCCACGTTCCTCTCAGAGATTACCAATAGCCATCCAACTGTTCATCCTTATCGGACCTATTAGATCTACAACCATTCAATTATACTACCAAGTCGGCCATTACCAGCCATGCACATTGCCTTTTATGCCTTTCTCAGGCCAGAGAATCCACTACCATCACCACCACTCAGACAGATCATTGTCTTCAACGATCCCACGTACGTAAACACATATATCATTACCTATTGGCTCTACCACATTCCGAAATGAGTCAACATGCACCAACAGTAGAGATAACATACTATCCTACCCACAACAAATGGTGCCCACTTTCGGTCCTAGATTCCTACCTTCAAAATCCTTTCAGGAATTAAATACTGTAATGCATTTAAGGAAATGTCTGGTTAATTTGTATATATTTGTTGACTGTATTAAATCTTTGATTATTCATTTTTGCCCTCTTTATTTACAGGCCTACCGTATCGTCGGTATCGGCACACCACAACCGACTTGCTCCCTTTACACTATCCTAAGCTTATGCTGGATCCTTACTCCATATACGGCTATTTTGCCCCTTACACAAGTATTAAGGCAGTTTTGCCTGTATTTGTGGGAGGGGCTTAAATTAATTCACTCCCCTATATAAGGGACACCCCTTACCTGACTCATATCGCTTGAGGTCAGCATCAGAATGACCCTCCCACCCACTCCTCATTTCAACACTTTCTCTTTTCTTTCCATTTACTTTACTTTCTTACTCCTTGGTGGGCCCTCTTTATTTACAGGCCTACCGTATCGTCGGTATCGGCACACCACAACCGACTTGCTCCCTTTACACTATCCTAAGCTATCCTAAGCTTATGCTGGATCCTTACTCCATATACGGCTATTTTGCCCCTTACACAAATATATATATTTGTGTTAGGTGCTCATGATAGTACAGAGTAAAATACCATAATTAAATGTAGGATAGTAAAAAGAGCAAGTCGGTTGTGGTGTGCCGGAACCGACGATGAGGTAGGCCTGAGAAAGAAGAGGGCCTACCCAGGAAAAAGAAATAGAAAGGAAATACTGTTAACCACTGTATGTATATATATATATATATATATATATATATATATATTTGTGTTATGTGCTCATGATAGTACAGAGTAAAATACCATAATTAAATGTAGGATAGTAGATACCATAATTAAATGTATCCACTCCTGTGCCTTAAGTAGGCTAGGAGTGGATACCAAGCACCTCCCACAAATCCAGGCCAAATTGCCTTAATACTTGTGTTAGGTGCTCGTGATAGTACAGAGTAAAAAATACCATAATTAAATGTAGGATAGTAAAAAGGGCAAGTCGGTTGTGGTGTGCCGGAACCGACAATGAGGTAGGCCTGAGAAAGAAGAGGGCAAAAATTAAGTAATCAAATTTATTACAGACAACCAATACAGATACATATATCAACCAGACATGTTTTTGAAAGCATCCCTTAATGCTTGTACTGGGTTCGGTATGTATGTATGTTGAATAAACGGATGACTTCCAGCGCCCCGGTGTTTTTATAACATGAACTGGAATGTTGACACTGGAGGCTGTGGACGCTGCTCCTATGCGGAAGGAGTGCCCTGAGTAGTTAGGTGCTTTGAGGCCCAGTTGAGTGAGCAAAGACCTAATGTAGGTGTCAAAAGGTTTTAAATCAAGCAGGTCAGACAATGCTTTGAAGATATGGTTATCTATGGGTAGCCTCTGTGATGTACGTGTGGGTTCAGATTTCTGAATGACTCTGAGTATGGTCTTAATCTGGTGAGAGGCCATGAAACTAGTGTTGTTTGGTTGTTTGATTAGCATATGGTGTTGAATGCCTGTGAGATAAAGTTTGATGGTGTTATATGACATTTTAAGTTTAAGGTGTCAAAAAGAAGCAAAACCCCAAAAAGATGTCATAATAAATGGTTGCATGATGTTATGTTCCAAAAGGAATCTTTTGAATAGTGTAAAAGCCCTGTCGTATGTTTTGTGTGTATTTTTTGACAGTGCCATTTGGGACAGTGTCCTGCTATGATGCATGATGATGTCTAGTCCAGTATTAGTTGTTGAAATGTTGGAGTGGTGGTGGCTGTGAGTGCAGCTGACGGGAGTGCTTGAGACAAACTGTCAGCAGCTGTGTTACATATACCTGGAACATGGAAACAATATAGAAAGAAATTATGACAAGCTGCCAACCACGTGAGTTTCCTCAGAGGTTTCATGATGGTAAGGGATTTGGAGCGACCTTTGTTGATGATGTGACAGGTTGCCTGGTTGTCTGAACTGGCATATTTGCATATTTGCCCCTTAAATGACCCCATGCTACGGCAGCCGCCAAGATGGGATAGATTTCAAAGAGAGTTGAGGTAGTGGAAAAACCTTCCCAATCATGAACTGCTGTAGGCCAGCTGCTCCAAAGCCATTCGTTCCCAAAAATTGCTGCAAAACCTGTGGTAGATGCCGCATCTGACCAAATGGTAGGTGATGAGTCAGTGAATTGAGGGAGGAACATACTTTTACCATTCCAAGTGTTTAAAAATTCCTTCCACATGCGTAAGTCTGCCGTAGCTTGGTTATCTAAGGACAACCTGTGTGTGTCGTGTAGGAAGCGTGGAAAAAGATACAAGAGTCGTGATTTGAAGGAGCAGCCTTGAGGTATGATACGCATGGCAAAATTTAGTGACCCCAGCAGGGACTATAGCTCTTTGCGGTGTCAAGTACCGAGCTGAAGGAAGCGGTTGATGTAGGTAAGAATGTTCTCTATCTTGTCGTGTGGTAGGCTTGCTTGCATTGTGGTTGAGTCTAATTGAATACCCAGGAAAGTGATAATCGTGTCTGGCCCCTCCGTTTTCTTAGGGGAGATTGGTACACCTAGTTGCTCGAATAGCTTGGTGGTAGCTTTGAGGCTACTAGGAGGGGAAGTATTTTCCTCGACCAGGTAGTCGTCCAGGTAATGTAATACCGTAGGGCATCTGGCTATGTTCAATAGTAACCAGCACAATG